TCCGGCCATATAGTATAGACTAGGGCTGACCCGTGGACTCCGTCCACGACATCTTTCTGGAATGGTTCTCGGAGGAACGGCGCAGATTGTACCGAAAATCTACAAACACGGCGGCGGCTCGGGCGGCGGCAGCGAGACCGCGCCTTCGTGTCCGAGCTCTTGCAGCGCTCCAGCAGCTTGGCCCAGCGCACTGCTCGTTCACCCCCCTCCTATTGAGGGCAGTTTCGAAGTCTCTCGGGGATGTGCGTCGAAGTCGAAGCCCATCTGAGGCGTCTCAGGAGCGCCTGGGGAAGGGCTCGGGAGGCCATCGGGGAAAGCCACCGAAAGCGCCGGGGAGGCTCGCAAGGATCTACAGGGAGGGCACAAGAGAGCTTCAAGAAAATTTGAAACCCAGTGAACTCTTAAGAGAAACCGCTGTTGGGTCGGCCATCACCTCCGGGCGCGCCTTGATGGCGCGATCCAGTCGCATCGCCGCCAACGGGAGGGTTTGTTCGCCATGTCCCATTATGTTCGCCCAGAGGGTCTGTGGAGGCCTTCGGGCGAACAGAATGGGACAGGGCAAGGAATGGGGAAGACTTGTCCAAATCTCCTGGGCCCCCCAGGTGCTCGTCCGAAGAGTGCGGAGAGGTCCCTGGGTCATATCGATTGGCTGCTGTCCCAGGGGTCTGGTCTGGAGTTTGCCAAGGCCCCTGGGGGAACAGAATGGCACAGCATATCGGGCAAAGGGGGGCGGTAGCTGGCCTGTCAGACCCGGCGTTCGTCTTCTGCCCAAGCGGCGCGGGGCCCACGGGCCCCAGGGTTGGCGGCCCGCTGGGTTTCCTCTTGTTCGCCCACAGGGTTCGGGGAGGCCTCCAGGCGAACAGAATGGGGCTGGACAATGAATGTGGAGACTTGTCGCAAGCTCCCAGCCCCCCCAAGTGTTCGCCCGAAGGGTGTGGGGCCGCGTTGGCTCCCTCAAAGGGCCGTCTTGGAGCCGTCTAGGCCCGTCTTGAGGGCGCCGTTTGCCGTGATGGGGCCGTCTTGGTTCGTCGTGGGCCCCTCATGGGCCCTCATGGGCGCGTCCGTAGGCCGTACCTTGTTGGCACTATCGTGGGGCTGTCTTGGAGCCGTCTGGGGCCGTGAGGGGGCCGCCTTGGAGTCGTCTTGGGCCCCTCCTGTGCGCCTCCTTGGGCCGTCCTGGGCCCAGCAGGGGCCGTCTTGGCACCCTCTTGGGGCGGTCTTGGGGCCGTCTTGAGCCGTCGCAGCGCGCCTTGGGTTGTGCTGGGTCCGTGGCGGCCTCTGTTGGGGCCTCGTTGGGGCTCCTTGGGAGCCTCCTGGGGCCTCTTCGAGGGATTCTTGGCGGCCCCTTGGGGCCTCTTGGGGGCCTGTTTGGGCCTCCTGGCGTCCTCTTGAGGCGGAAGGCTCGGATTTTCGGTCCGTGGTCCTCCTCTTGGTCCCCTCTTGGGCCTGTCTTCGGGCCCTCGTGGGCCGTCTTGAGCGTCTCTTGGGTCGTCTTGGGACCTTCTTGGGCTGTCTTGGGGCGCTCTTGGAGGCCTCTTGGGCCGTTCTGCGGCGCTCTTGGAGGCCTCTTGGGCCGTCTTCGAGCTTCGGAAAGCGGAAAAGGCGAGAAGGCCAAAATCCTTCCCAAACCGTCGTAAAGTGGATGATTTTGGCCGCTCGGGGCCCTCGGGGAATACGCTTGCAGGCCTGGGCTCCTTGAGCTTTCTTGGGGGCCTCTTGGGGCCTCTGGAGCCTCTCTGGAGCCGCCCCGGGCGTCTTTAAGCCCCGTGGGACCTCTTGGGGACCTCTTTTGGGCTCCTGGGGGCCTCTTGGGCCTCTCTGGGCCCGTCTATCGCGCCCCTTGGGCTGGCTTGAGGCCCCCCTAGGGCCTTCTTGGGCGGTCCTCGGGCCGTCTTGGCGCCGTCTTGGGCCGCTCTTCGGGCCATCTTGGTGTCCCGTTGGCCTGTCTTGGGCGCCTCTGGGGCCGTCCTGGGGCCGCCTTGGACCGTCTTGGGGCCCTCTTAGACCGTCTCGGGGTCCTCTTGGGGACCTCTTCGACGTCTTGGAGCGGTCTTGGATGCCTCTGGGGGGGGGTTCGGAGTGTCGGGAAGCCGAAAAAGCGAGGAAGCAAAAACACTTAGAAAAAACATATGAAAATCAACGATTTTGGCCTCTCGGGGCTTGGGAGGCCTCTTGGGAGGCCTATTGGGCCGTCTTGGGGAGCTCTTGGGCCGTCTTGGGCCAATCTTGGGCGTCTTGGCCGGATCATTGCGCGTCTCGGGGCCCTCTTGGGCCGCCTTCGGGGCATCTTGAGCGGCTCGGAGCCGTCTTTGGGCCGTCGGGGCCAGTTTCCAGTCATTTGGGTGGATTTCCTTCCGGCACGCGGTTCCTCCGGCCATATAATATAGATTTCCTTCCGGCACGCAGTTCCTCCGGCCATATAGTATAGACTATGGCTGACCCGTGGACTCCGTCCACGACATCTGGCCAAGAGTATTCTAGGGGGGAGCGGCGGGAATGGTGCCGAAAGGCTATCCGCCCCTTCCACAGCAGCGCCCCGAGCTGCACCGGCACGCTCCGTGGCGCCTGCCGGCGCCGCCCGACGGGGACGATGACGGCGGCGGCGGCGCCGAGACACAGAACGCTTGCGGGGAGGTAGTTCGGGCGCGCGGCGCCCCTGCGCGATGATCTCACGGTTAGCCACTTAGGATCTCCGAGGGGCCGTGGGGGGCCTCTTGGAGCTTCTTTTGGGCTTCGAGGGGGCCTCTGCGGGCCCTCGTGGGCTCTCGTCGGTGCCGTTTGGGCCGTCTCGGAACCGTCCTGGGCCGTTTTGAGCACCTCTTGGGCCGTCTGGGAGCCGTCTTGGACCGTCTTGGCGGCTCTTGGGGCTGGTCTGCGTGCCTTCGGGGCCGTGTTGGAGATGTCGTGGGCCGTCTTGGGCGCCTATTGGGCCGTCTTCGGGCCGCCGTCTGGGGCCGTCTTTGGGGCTGCCTTGGGTCCAAGAGGACCCCAAGAGGGCCCCAGGACGCCGCCGGGCGCGGGCCCACAATTCTGCCACGAGAGGCTTTTCTGTGGCAGAATGCGCCCGGCCCTGTCTTGGAGGGGCCCGAAGGCCTCAAGAGGGCCGCAAGAGCGCTCCAAGGGGGCCCCAAGAGGGCCCCCAACCGCATGTACTTGATATGCTTCTGGGGCTTGCGAGATGGGCACCCAAGTGCATGCGTCTTGGGCCTTGTCGGGGCCATCTTGGGGCCCTCCTGGCTCCCTTCTTGGGGCCTTTCGGGAGCGCTCCCACCCAGTCCTGGCCTCCTCTTGGGGCCGCCATGGGCGCCTGAGGAACCGTCCTGGCGCAGTCTTGAGCCGTCTTGGGGCCCTCCTGGCAGCTTCCTGAGGCGTCGTGGGACGATCTTGAGGGCCTGTGTGGCCGTCTTGAACGCTTCGGAGACGAAAAGCACGGGAACTCCCGAAATGTGCGTTTTCCCATGGGATGGGGACGATTGTTCCTTGTTCGGGCTCTCCTGGGCTCTGGAGCCCACTTGGAACATTTTGGGGGCCTCTTGGGCCCTCGGGCGGCTGTCTTTGGTGTCTTCGAGCGCTCGGGGCGTGTCTCGGAGGCCCTCTTGGACCGTCTTCGGGCCCTCTTGGGGCCCTCTTGGGGGCCTCCAGGGGCGGCTCGGTGCGCTCTTAAGCCATCTTGGAAGCGCGCCAGGGCCACGGGGCCCTCTGGGGAAGGTTCTGGGGACGTCTCATGGAGCACCCTGGAGGCCTCTCGGGCCAGCTTGGGCCAATCTTGGGCCAATCGCGAGCGTCTGCATGCTAGATCTCCGGCGTAGCTGCATAGACTGACAGTTTGACAACTTTGGGTCTGGCGCCCACCTGGGAACCTTTTGAGCCGATTTGGGGGCCCTTTGGGCCCGTCTTGGGGCTCTCTTGGGGCCTCTTCGGCCGTCTTGGAGCCGTCTAGGAACGGTTTGGGCGGTCGTGGATCGTCTGGAAGCCGACGCGGCGAGAACGGCGAAAACCTTGCAAAAAAAAAACATGTTTTCCTTACTCGGGGCCCTCTGGGGAAGTTTCTGGGGAGGTCTCATGGAGCACTTTGGAGACCTCTCGGGCCGACTTGGGCCTCTTGGGCCCTCTTGGCGTGTCTTGGAGCCTCCGTGGGCGTCCCTGGGCGGCCCGGGGCCAGCCCGGGCCGGTTTTGACTTCATTGATCCCGCGGCATTCTGGCACGCACGACCCCCATTGAGCCGACTTGGAGGCCCTGTGGGCCCGTCTTGGGGCTCTCTTGGGGGCCTCTTTGGCTATCTTGGAGGCGTCTTGGGAACGTCTTGGGCCGTCGTGGATCGTGTGGAAGCCGACAAGGCGAGCACGGCAAAAACCCTGGAAAAAAACAATGAGAATCACTGTTTTTTCCTGCTCGGGGCCCTCTGGGGAAGCTTCCCGGGGGGTCTCCCGGATCACCTTGGAGACCTGTCGGGCCAGCTTGTGCCTCTTGGGGCTCTCTTGGCGTATCTGCGAGCCTCTCTGGGCGGCCTGGGGCGGCCCGGGGACAGCCTCTGGGGGCCTGTTGAGCCGACTTGGAGGCCCCCTGGGCCCGTCTTGGGGCTCTCTTGGGGGCCGTCGGCCGTCTTGGGGCTTCCAGAGGCGTGGTGGGGTGATCTGGAGGACCCGTAGGGCCGTGTGGGCATCGCAGTGGACGAAAAGCAGTGGACCTGGAGAAAGGCTCGTTTTCCCAAAGAACTCTAACGATGTTTTCTTAAATGTAGCTTTTTGGGGGCTCGTCCTGGAGCCGACTTGGAGCGTCTCGGGAGGACTTTTGGGCCGTCTGGTGCCTAGCGTGGGCATCTCGGTGCGCTGTGGGACCTAGTCGAAGGCCCTCTTGGGCATCTAGTGCGTCTCGGGCCGTCGTGAGACGACCAGGGGGGCCCGTTACGCCCCGCCAGCGCCCGCACTTCCCGCACGCACGTGTCCCTGCGTTGTAGTGTAGATGACGGCGGGCTCCAGCTTCGCCTCCCGCATCTCGCTCAGTAGCGCCAGGGCCCGCTGCCACTGCTCGCCCTTCTCGCACGCGCTGATCCCAGCATTAAGGCTGACGACATTGGGCTCCAGCTTCGCCTCCCGCATCTCGCTCAGCAGCGCCAGGGCCCGCTGCCACTGCTCGCCCTTCTCGCACGCGCTGATCCCAGCACTGTAGCTGAGCAGGGCTGACCCGCGGCCTTCTGGCCGCGGAATCTGCTCGCCATGGCGTAGAGGTGGAAGTGGAGCGTCTCCGGGGCCTCGCAGGCGAGGAGAGGTTGAAGGAGACGGCGTGGATGGAGGTGGCCGCTGGAGGGGGAGGTGGGCGAGGGATGCAGGCAAGCAGGCCTGAAGGCAGGAACGCGATGGTAGAGGCGGTGTCAGTGGAAGCACACCCATGTAGGCAGTCATGGTGTGGACAGAAGCTGTTTCTCACGCCGCAATATGTGTTCAGCATAGCTTCTGCGGGGAGGGTAGCCGTGATAATTGTACCTGGTCCTCGCCGGGGCCGAATGCAAATTTTATCTGGTAGTGTGGTGACAATGGGGCCGGTGGGCGCGGCCTAAGAGGCCCGCAAGAGGGCGCCGAGACGGCCCAAAAGGTCTCCAGGACGGGCCACGAGGCTTCTTAAACGGCCCCAGAGGGCCCCACGAGCTCCCTAAGTCGGGCCCCAGTGCGAGGACACGAATCGGCCTTTCGAGCGCACCGCCCCACTACGTCCCCCAAAGGCGCAGAGATGGCTCCTAGGGGGTCCAAGAAACCCCTCAGACGACGCTGGAAGTTCGACACTCCCCAAGAGAGAAGGATCCAAGGCCTCTTGGGGGCCGTTTAGGGGCCTCTTTTCGTCCTCCTGGGGGTCTCTCGGGGCCCTCTTGGGCCGTCTTGAGTGCCTCTTGGGCTGTCTTTGGACGATGTGGGGCCGTACAGGGCGCCTCTCGGACCATCTTGAGGCCGCCTTGGGGCCATCTTGGGCCGATCTTGGGCGCTCTTGGGGCTGTCTTGGATGTTTCTTGGGCTGTCTCGGGCGCTTCTGAAGCCGTCCTGGGGCCGTCTCGGGCCCAGACTGGGGACCCGGACAGACATTTCGAGCCCTCGGCCTGAGAAGCTCTCAGGAGGCCACCAGAGGTTCCTAATAAGCCTCCCAAGAAGCCCCAAGAAGCCCCCAAGAAGCCCCCAGGAAGCCTCAAGAGGCCCCCACGAGGCTTTCAAGCGGCCCCCAAGAGCTTCCCAAGAGGCCCCCTACCCCCAAGAGGCCCCCGAGAGCGCTCGTCGTCGTCGCCGCCATTCAGGGTCGGCGGCACCGGCCGTAAGGCCTTCCCAACAGAAACCTCCTAGATGAGGTCGGAGTGGATGGGGTCGGAAAATCCCGCCGCATCGCCGATACATAGGCGATGCATCGGCGATGCATCGGCGATGCACCGGCGATGCGCGACGTCGACCTGGAGCAAATTGGGCTTCGCATCGAGCCGCATCGCCGATGCATCGGCGATGCGGCGCGATCCTCCGACCCCATCTGCTCCGACCCCACCTGGGAGGCCCGGACTCCAGCAAGAGGCTATTCTTACGCGTCGCCGACGCTCGGCACTCCCCCCCCGTCTTCTGCGCGCTGCACCCGTGTTGGGCCAGGGCGAGGCCTGGGCCCGGGGCGCCAAGGGAGCGCCGGCGCGAGGAGGGCCCCACCTCTAGAGAGGCCTCCCAGATGGGGTCGGAGGATCGCGCCGCGTCGCCGATACAACGACGATGCATCGGCGATGCATCGGCGATGTGTGGGCGACGCCAGCTTGGAGAAACTCGGGCTCCACATCGAGCCGCATCGCCGATGCATCGGCGACGCGACGCGGCGCGGCATTGCCACAATATGCCGACAGGTACTGGAGATACCGACCCCAGGACTACACAGGAGGGGCGAAGGAAAAGGTCCCGTGCCGTATCCATCGAACCACCATCTTCATCCTCAACTTATTCTCGGGCCAGCGACGACACGGAGACATCCAGACTTGGATGGAAGGTCACTACACATCGACACAATATGAAGTTGTCATTCTCAGCGTGGACGTTGCCATCAGTGCGGAGCTAGGTGACCTTACCAGACAGACCACTATTGACACCTGGACCGAACATATCCTGGCCAGGAGAGTGTGGAATACGGGGGGGGGGCCCACCATGTGAAACATGGAGCGCTGCCAGGTGGCTAGATGTGCCCCCCCCCCCCCCCTAGAACACATGCCTGGGTCTGGGGGCTGCCAGCTGTGACCGACCGACAATCCCGACAGCTCGATGTGAGCAGCAGCCTTCTACGGAGCACTGTGCATCTGATCGCCTGCCACGTCGGGGCTGGCACGAGCGCATGGATGGAACACCCAGAGCAGGCGTGGTGGCGTTTGCAAGCTCCCTCGAGCTTCCACTGGGAACCCCTGGAGGCCCTACAATCCAGTCCGGTGTGCTACACTGCCAACTTCGACCAATGCGTCCATCACGACAGTAGGCCAGAAGTCATCCGGAAGGCCCCCACCTGGCCCCTCGGGTTTCGCATGCCCACCCTGGTCCCCAACCTACTCAGTGCTGGTGCCCGTGGGCGTTGCAACCACCCCAAGGGCTCCCATCTCTCGCTCCAAGGAAAAAACGGACAGGGGACATTTCTTACGAGTAGAAAGAAAACATACCCGACCAGCATGTGCCGACACATTGCCTCAGCCATTGCCGACACTATCCAATCCCAATTTGCCTCACCATCAGAATGCGACGTGGATGCTGAAGACTGCGACCCGGCCTTGGTCGAAGATCTCTGGACTTTTTATTGCAAGGAGATAGGAGGTGACTTCTCAGTTGCGCCCGACTACGCCCGCCAGGGAAATAGTAGACAACGGGTGGATCCAGAAAGGTACAGGTTCTAGACAGATCACGAGCAATGCGATGTTGATCCGACTCCTGCTCCCGATCCTACTCCAGCTCCTGAGCGCCCATCTGCTCCCCTTTTTCCTGGGGACCCGAGCTCAGAGCATGAGGTAGAGGATTTCTTAGGGTCTCTCCCCCCCCCCCTTTTCCTCCCCGCCTCCCCTGCCCCCCCCGCCTCCCCCCCTCACGGCAGCGCAGATCGAGCGCATTGCTGCGCATCGCCTCGAGGCGCGCCGCCGCAGGGAGGCGCGGGCGGAGGCGGCGGCACGGCGCCGAGCACCATGGAGGGGCACCGGCCTCTCCTTCGCCTCGCACTTCGAGGCCCGCTCGTGCCCCCCCCTCTTTCTTTCAGCAGGCCTCCCCATGAGGTAAGGCCCCCGAGGACAAGAGCACGGCGCCCGCGCCCATGCCTGCGTCCCCCCCATCTGTTCCGACCCCATCTGGGAGGCCTCGAACCACCTCGGCCGTCGGACGCCCAATCAGATGGGAGCTGGGCGAGTTGAGACAACGGCCACAACATCGGGTGGATGGCAACATTAATATTAAAATATGAATAAGAGTATATTATTATTATCATTGTTATTAATATTATTATTATTATTATTATTATTATTATTATTATTATTATTATTATTATTATTATTATTATTATTATAAATATTATTGATATTATTAATACTAATAATATTCTATAATAGTATTTCTATATTAACATGTTAGTAAACTAGTATTGATATATTAATATTAATTTCAATATATTATAGTATGAATATTCATATATGAGTATTAATAATAGTATGCACTTTTTTGTTAGTAACTACTGGCATCTATGGGGGGTGGCCCACACGGTGGGTGACGAAGAAGGCCCCCAAATGGCGCCCTGTGGGGCTCCTGCTGGAACCAGCTGGTGCCCCATAGGGGCCCGAAAGCGCCCCCTGCAGGGCCCTCTTCTTCGCCCCCCGTTTGGGCCACCCCTCGCCGCCGCCCGCCCGAACAGCGGCCACGCAACTCAACTCGTGGGAGCCTCCCATACCATCTTGTCTGCTCTTGCGAATCGACGCCAATCCACGCTAGTCGACGCCAAAGCGACGCTAATCGACGCTAGATCGACTCTCATCGACGCTAAATCGGCGCTAGCTCGTCGACTCTCGGACATTCGTCGACGCCAAAGACGGAATTGCGGCAGTATACCCGGCTCCCATGTGTTACCGAAAGAATTTGAGCGGGCCAGATGATGTTCGGCTCCAGTGCATCCTCCAACTGCTCCCTCAATAGCAACATTGCCTGCTGCCAGTGCTTCGCTTTTCCGCAAGCGCTGATTCCAACGCTGTAGCTGATTACGTCCGTCCTCAGCCTCACCCTCCACAGCTCGCGCAACAGAGACACCGCCTGCTGCCACTGCGATGCTTCCTCGCAGGCGCTGATTCCAGCGCCGTAGCTGATGGTGTTTGGTTCCAAATTCACCGCAGACAATTCCCGCAGCAACAACAATGCATGTTGCCACTGAGAGCTTTTCCCGCAAGCGCTGATCCCAGCGCTATAACTGACGACGTCCAGCTCCAACTTCTCCTCTCGCACCACCTCGAACAGTGACAGCGCCTGCTGCCACTGCCCACCTTTCTCGCACGCGCTGATCCCAGCGTTGCAGCTGACAATGTCCAATTCTAGCTTGGCATCCCGTAGTTCTCCGAGCAACGACAACGCCCACTCCCATTCCCCACCTTTCTCGCAAGCGCTAACCCCACCACTGAAACTGATGACGTCCGGGCTCAGCTTCACACTCCGCAGTTCCCCCAACAACATCAGCGCCCGCTCCCACTGCAAACCCCTCTCGCACGCGCTGATTGCGGCGTTGTAGCTGACCCTGTCCAGCTCCAGGCTCGCCTCCCACAGGTCTCTCAGCAAGCAGCACGCCTGCTGCCACTGGCCACTGCTCGCGCACGCGCTGATCCCGGAGTTGCACAGGAGGACGTCTGGCCGCACCTTGGCGGCCCGCGCCTCCCTCAGCAGCCACAGCGCCCGCTCCCACTGCCCGCCCTTCTCGCACGCGCTGACCCCAGCGGAGAAGCTGACAACGTCAGGCCTCAACATCACCGTCGACAAGTCCTTCAACAACGACAGTGCCTGCTCCCACTGCCCACCTTTCTCGCACGCGCTCATGGCGATGTTGTAACTGATCGCGTCCGGTTCCAGCGCGACGCCTGGGAATTGCCTCAGCAGGGATTGTGCTCGCTGCCACTGGCTGCCTTTCGCGCAAGCGTCGACTCCAGCGTTATAGCTGGCGGTGTCGAGCTGCAGCTTGGTTCCCCGAAGCTCTCCCAGCAACAGCAGCGCCTGTTGCCACTGGCTGCCCTTCCCGCAGGCGTTTATGGCCACGCCGTACAAGCCGGTGCAGGTGCGCACGTGCGAATGCAGTGCCCGTCGCAAAAGTCCGAGCGCCGCGGTCCATTGCCTTGACTTGCCTAGCTGCCTGATGGCGTGAAGCGGAGGAGTCACAGTCGTTCGGAGCTCAGACTCCCCCGCGTGCGCCAAGGTCCGCATTGTCGGCATAATATGAAACAACAGAGCGGGAAGCTGAACGCGAGGGGGGGAAATATACTCCGAAAACCAAACCAGCACTCTGGGTGTAGGTGTTTTAAGTCGTTTCCTCGTCCAACTCCCGTCTTCCATTCGGGGCGGGTTTCACTCCTCTCCTTCCCCCCCTCCCCCTGGTCTGAACCTAGTCGGGGGGACCCGAGGGGGTAGAAAGTCCAACATGGCTCTAATGTGGCCTTGAATGCATCGCCCTGAGATCCTGGCGTTGCTATTTTTTCACAACGGGCGTTTTCGCTCCCCTTCGGGCCCCAGGACCCTCACATATCGATGCGGTTCGAGAAATGACGCAGAAAGAGGGGGTCCGGGGCTCTGGTCGTGATTATTGGCGATGTCGCGATTTTTGTGCCACGTCGGATCTCAGGGAGCTCAAGCTGGCCTCCAATATCGCGCAAGATAATCCACGATGAATCTTAGCATGCCTCCGAGCGGCTTCAAGCCTGCCCTCAGATGGCTCTACGTAGCCATGGCGCCATCCAATGATACCACCGATGTGCCCCAATCGTCTAAACACATGTTTTAGTGCCAATGTGATTTCCTTCTCGCCTCTTCGCGTCCACTAAGCCCCGCGCGATCCCCAAGGCGGGACCAGAAGCGGTTCAAGATGGCCGCAATTGGGCCCCAAAGCGTCTCAATCACTTCCTTAGTCGGCTCCGAACTACGATTGTTCGGCCACCGGCGGGGGTTTAGATAGATAAATCTATTCGTGCTGCAATGATGTCGGCATGCGCGCGCGGGGACCCGCGCGTGTTACATGCACTGTATGATTCGACAAAAATGAGTGGTGCGCGATGAGTGGTGGCTGGTTCCGACATCCGGGCGCATGTGGCCCCCATGGTATCAGTTGATAAGGTTGCACCAAACCTACTGGGGCTTTTCAAATGCTTGCAAAGACGCGCGCACGAACTCTGTCATATGTTTGTGGACGGGACGGCAAGTTGTGTGTATCCATGTGAGTATCCATGTCTTTCTGTCTGCCTGCCTGCCTGACTGTCTGTCTGCATGTATGTCTGTATATGTATGTATGTATGTATGTATGTATGTATGTACGTATGTATATATGCATGCACGTATGTATGTATGTATGTATGTATGTATGTATGTATGTATGTATGTATGTATGTATGTATGTATGTATGTGTATATATACATATGTATATGTATATATGTATATATGAATGTATCGATGTATCGGAAACATAAGTCAGCCAACGCCGACTCCAAACCGTACGTTTCTAGCAACCTATGCTGTACAATCTAGGTGATGCAGTCTAGGCAGCGCAGCAGCGGCGGCGGCCACACCGTCAGTTGACAATCATGCATCCCCCTAGCTGCTAACCGCTGCTCTGCCCTCCGAAGTCCAGCGTGGACTGTGCAGTGACTGCTCCCTCCTGCTCCCTCCGTCTCCAAAGCGATTGCGTCAGGCCTGCGACGCACGCCTCTCGAGGCGCCTCTCGAGCCCAAATGCTTACGGTTGGGGCGCGCGCCTGCGTTGCTGCTATCCCTCCTTCAACTCCCCGTTCTCCTTATCCTCCTGGTATGTCTGACCCTGCTTCACCGCCATCGCCTCCTCCTCCCTCTCCTCCTCCTCCTCCTCCTCCTCCTCCTCCTCCTCCTCCTCCTCCTCCTCCTCCTCCTCCTCCTCCTCCTCCTCCTCATCCTCCCCCCTCTCCCTCCCTCCCTCCTCCCGCTCACTCCCCTCCCTCCCCTCCCCTCCCTCCCCCCTCCCTCCCCCCCTCCCTCCCACCTTCTTCCTCCCCCTCCTCTGCCGTCCTCCGCGGTCTGGCGCCCTCTCTTGGAACGTGTTGGAGCTTCTTCGGGGCCCTCTGGCGCCGTTCTGAAAATCCCCAGGGGCGCTCGGAAGTGCGCCAGGTCCTACCGGGCAGAGTCGGGTCCACCTGATCAGTTGCACCGTTCCTGCACGTGGCGCTCTGGGCATTGCAGAAGAGATGACGCTCGGGCTCCAGCTTCGTCTCCCACACCTCGCTCAGCAGCGCCCAGACCCGCTGCTATTGCTCGCC